AATAGATCGCATCCTTACCATGTGAAACTTGCTTATTTTATTATCTTAATCAAATCAAGATGCAGAGGTGGAAGGGGAAGGAAGCAACTGAACCCCCAAATGCTGCTCACTGCCTGCCACATGATCTGACCACAGAAGAGACTGCCTGTGCTCAGATTGTGTCAGGCACATCTGACCCCAACCCCTCAGTCCCATGGGTGCTCACAGGGGAGCTGGGCCAATGCAGAGTCGCGTCTGATGGAAAGCCTGCTTTCAAGAGTAGGTGATACTGACAGAATGGAAGATTTCATTAAAAATAAGAAATTCCGTGAGCCTAAATTGCTATGGATTTATGTTTCAGCATAAGTGAGTGTCAGATGAGGCTTTCTCCGGTACCTGGGTACTTGTTAGGTCTCTCTTCAAAGCAGATTTTTATGTCTGTATGATGCGAGTTCATACTGCAGTCTCTCTTACTGCTGGGCCATGCGCATAGTTCTTCTCTCTGTCTGGTGCACACTTAAATAAAACTTGTTATAGCATTGCTACCTGCAAGACCTTCCCTCGTTCAGGCATCACTGACATTGGTCCATGGTTACTGATCCATCTGGGGTCAACAGTCCTGCTTTCATTTCCAGTCTTTCTCTCGTTCATCTGGCTTCTGTCTCCTGTTGGAAATACAAAGGGAAACCCTGGGGCAGGTTTTTTTCCTGGTTTTATTCCTTGCTGTCTAACACGTCACCATACCAAGAGGTGTAATCTTCTGCTGGCATCCCATGAGTAGCTGACATTTCAAACAGTTAGTCTTCACCCCACTTTGAGGCAAGAATATGACTTAAAGAAAGAAGAAAGTAAGCTAGTCCCAGAAATGGGCTAGTATCCCAGAGTTCAAGGAATCTCTGCAGGAAAAGCAGGTACTACAAAGCAGTGGGGTTTTCTTGTCGGTAGTGATGGTTTTAACTTTACTGAAAGGGCTACAGATGGAATAGTGAATAAATTGAAAATAATGCCATATAAATAGTAATAAAAGCGCAAATATAGTAGTGGGATTCACATTAATTTAGTAGGAAGGAAGAAATCCTAAGACTGAAAATCCGTAAGGTCGATGATACAAAGAAATCCTCCAGAGCCGACCGTGCTGTCGGGAGTGGAGCTCGCAGGACCGGTCACCGGTAACTCTCCGAGCGGCAGCAGCCGGGGTC